TAAAATTATCAGTATAAAATAAAAATATAGGATGAGAAAGAGAAGGAAGAAGAAGTTGCCCAGGCCAGATCATATGTTTTAACAATTGAAATGATGTTTAAATAAAAAGGTCTTTACCTGGCGCCGAAAAACCAGTAACGACGGTGCCAGGCGGACCTCTTTGGGGAGTGAATTCCATAGGTTGGGCGCCACCGCAGAGAAAAATTGGCTGGCTTCATTTTTATTTAAGGCTTTTATAGACTGCCCATCTACTGGTGTTTTGGGACCGTTTACAACAAAATAGTGAAGAAAATTAATAAAAAGAACCTAATGCTGTTTGGAGATCAGATCTAGACTGAAAGATTTCCAGAGCTGACCAAAGCAGAAAATTCATTCTCAGTGGAAAAGACCAAAATTTAGTACTGGTGAAGATAGGCATGGTAATGTAAGGTGATACCTGGAAAGCCAAACCCACCTTCTCTAATTGGAAGTTGCATCCTTTTCGAGGATATTTGTGCTTGGGAGGAACTCCCTCCAAACTACTTGTGGGATATAGATAGAAGAATCCCATGTATAACAAACAGTCCGAGATCTAATATTCAGCTTAGGTGTATTTATAGTACTGCACAAACTCAACTTCAAAGATGCCAATGCGTTCTCATTAATCAACTTAATCATTTGAGATATATCTTTGGGAATAAATTCCTGAAGCAACAAGACAGTGGGGATTATAACATTTTTATTATTCCCAACTTTATTTAGTGCTAACTTAGTTCTTTTGTCTGGTGTGAAGTGGTTCTGTTCTAAAATATTTCAATAATTAGTAAGTCACCTGCCTCTTTGTCTAACCCACTTCATTCTAACCAGATTCTTGCAATAGTGGGTGAGAATCTCTTGGCCAAATCCTGAATAGAAGTCATGAAAGTGCAAGAGAAATTGCTTGTTGACTGCAACTACTTTTGTACAGTGATAGAAAATCCAGGCGGTGGCTTCAAGTGGAAGAAACATAAACCACTTGGTTATTGTGTATGTGCAGGGAGTGGGTGCACACTGCCCATTTACTCCTGGTACAAGTGGGAGCGACTGAACAAACCACAAATCCTCCACCATGATTTGTGTATCATGACAGTTATACTGGGAGCTCTCACTTGTGTATCCTCCAACAAGCCAGAGACATAAAACAAGAACAAATCATCAGCTCCAGCTTGTTCAGTGAGGAGTTACAAGAGTTACAAGACAAGAAGCCAGAGTAAAGCTGGAAAGTTTGTGGTGAGGAGTAGGAGAAGGAGTTGAGTGGGAGAGATCAGGCAGCATGTGCTAGCACACTGATCAACCCCAATAAATTCCTGGAGAATCCTGGCCTGTTGCAGTGGGCAAACTTAGGCCAGTATGTCTGAAGTCTCCTTTTATTGGTTATGCAAAAAGTTCAATTCAATGCTCTCTGTTTCTTTTGAATTTAACATATTATTTTTTTTGTCCAAAGGCAAAAGCACATGTTTCAGTTGGGAAACTGAAGGCTGCACAACAGTTTTTGAAAACAATAAATCCTGAATCTAATGACTTTATAAGTGATGAACAGAAGAAGGAAGCTAATAGCTTTTTAGAGGATACATTAGATCTTCCTTCACCAAAAATGCCAACATTCAGTACTAAGGTAATCCAGACATTTTGCTATGGAAAATCATTGTTTGATAATCGCACCCAAAAGCCAGAATAAGATTGCGTTAATTGGGCTTGAATGATCTCAGCTGCCTTCATTTGTGAATTTGCCCCTTCCCTCAAAGGGCTTGTGAACACTGCTGGAGTAAGCCTGTGCTTGGTTACAGGAGATCTGCCTGGAGTTGTCAAATGTCTGAGCTAAGGAAAAAACAAGCGGGGGGTGTTGCTGGGAGCTGCCCAGTTGCCTCACCTTTGCTAACCAGATTTTCAACTGATGAGTCCTTGGATCCTGGATTGGGAGACCTGTGCTTAGCTAATATGTGGAGTACTTAATTTTTCTTGGAATATTGTTCTAAATATCCTCTTGGAGCCTTGAAAACTTTTTATACCTTTCCATTTTCCCTATCTCTAGAGCTGCATGTGTGCTTCCCTCCAGGTAAACCTCAGTAATAAATTCAGAATGATCGGCTTGGTTGTTGCTGAGGTTTATAGTTGCAAGCTTAGGGCTTTGAAATAGAGGGGTCGGCTAGAACTCTCAGTTCTTAAGCCCTAGCACTGCCCTGAGAGACCTGAGAGTCCCCTGGGTTAGGCTGAGGGGGAGATGAGCAGTGGCGATAGTCTACTGGATCATTGCTTGTCCTCCTCACACCACAGGGTGTTTGAGCAGCACCCATTTCGCTCTGAGTGACGCATGAGCGCTGGAAGAGGGAGATATATGTTTCTGTGTAATGTGAATGAATATGTTCATATTTTGTCAGAGAAAATAAAGTTTTGTTCTCCTCTATTAAAAGCATTTATGTATTGTTTTATTTCATTTCTATACTGCCCAAGAGCTGAAATTCTCTGCGGGGTTCGCCTAGGGTTAGATCGAACATAGGGCTAAATTTGGCTTTATTTAATACATAGAGCAGACCCACTGAAATCAGTGGGATTTTCATCTCTAAAATAGAGTTTGCAGTGGTATTGTCGTGTAGCATATTCATGTACAGAATGTAACATGTGCTCTGGTTGCTCTGTGGATACAGCCAGAGCTTTGTGGCTTTTTCCTCATTTGTAGTGAGGCATTTTCCAGGCATATGAATCATAAATTGCTTCTGTTATGCTGTAGATGTTATCTGTGTGGCCTTGGGTCACACAGCGCTTTGTCTGAATACATCCTTAGGGGCTTTTTGGAGAAGATCTTTGAGTTCATGAATTGGTTTATAGTCCAGAATAATATTTCTTGTACATTAAGTGGTATGTGTATATTATCATAACCCGGTGCTTTTATGTACATATTCTACCAGATTTTCAAGAATTTTATGTGTGTGCAACTGTACTGGATTAGAATCAGTGTGGTCAGAGACTTTTGAATGTGGAATTGTATGGTTACACTATGGCCATCACAAGTTGATACACAAGGCCTATGCAGCACTACTTTATTCTTAAATCCCTGGTTCTTTAAATATAGAAGCTTTATATGACATTTCTTATGCATTTGGTGTAAAGGGGGTTTCATTTAATACAAATCAGTTCTCAAAATTCAGGAAACTTCTATGGCACCACCTACAGAAGGCAAGCCTGAAAGCCAGAAATATGGGTCTTTATTGCATGGTACGTTTGATGAAGAAAAATCCTCAAGGTACTTTCAGGAAGCTGTAAATCAGTGGAGAAGTGGAAATTACTCTCAGAAATCCAAGGAAGAACGCTCATGTCAGGTTGGATCAGGTATCAATTAATAGTGGCTAAGTAATAATTAGAAAATATTATAAAAGGCCCATAAGAAAAAGGGGCCAGTATTTGTCACCTAAATTTGTTTATAACTATTATAACTATAGGGATTCGGTGGCACAGTGGGTTAAACCAATGAGCCGCTGGGCTGGTAGATCGAAAGGTCAACAGTTTGAATCCTTAGACAGGGTGAGTTCCCGTACTCTGTCCCAGCTCCTGCCAACCTTGCCATTCGAAAGCATACAAATGCAAGTAGATTAAAAGGTACCACTTTGGTGGGAAGGTAACAGTGTTCCGTGCACTTCGGTGTTTAGTCATGCTGGCTACATGACTACAGAAACTGTCTGCGGACAAACGCTGTCTTCCTCAGCTAGGAAACGAAGATAAGCACCACCCACAAGAGTCAGACATGACTGGACTTTAATGTCATGGGGATACCTTTACCTTTATTATAACTATTCATTTATATACATCTAAGAAGAAGCAAAAATGTACCAGTATGATAACATAAATGTCATCTTAAAGCTTAGAAATAGGAATGACATTGTCCTACTGTGGTTGGTGGGGACATGGGGAACTATTCTGCCAAACCTGCATGCAGTTTCTGTGTGTAAAGGCTTGGATTGTGATTGTCCTGCAATAACAGGAGCAATACTTTATACATGTGAACATCGCTATTCTGAATCATAGCCTTAGGATTTTTTTATTTATTCCATCGAGTCTATTAGTGTTCTAGATGGAATTATCACACTGCATTTGAATGCTCACTAAAAACTTTTCTCTGTGTGTTTATAGAAAATTCAGAAACTTGTCAGGTGCAGACAAGTCCACCAGTTGTGAAAAAAACTTTTGAAATTGAATTTAAAGAAGATAGCTTGAAATATATGGAAAGATTATTGATAAAGAAACATAGAAGGTATTCACTGGTTTGTCATGATATAAGAGGGGCACTGGTATTTTCTAATCTAATCACTCGTTTAATAATACATATTTAAGGTATGCATACAATAATATTAGATAATATTCCTGTGCAGAAAAATGCAGGAGTTTTCCAAAATGTTCATTAGAAAAGAAATAACAAGAATCAATGTATCTTAGGGTATCACATTATTGGTTATGTAGTTAATTATTTCATTTTATTAGCCCTGAATACCAAGCAGTTTCTATAGATGGTTATTTCTGGAGCACTGAGGGGAAAACCTATTGGAATGAATAGTGTTGTGAAGAACCATGGTTTTCTGTTGCACTTGAGTAACTCAGTAGACTGTGACTGATACCCAACAAGAATTTAACATTGCACAGCCATTCTTGGAAGTAGCTGAGCATTGCAGATAGTCAGAACAAAATTCTGTCACATTGTGCAGACAAAGAAGTACAACAGTGTGATACTACTGTAATCTGTATTTTTAAAATATTTGCCTTCTTTCTGCTTTTATAGAACTCCAGTTGACAAATTGCCAGATCATGTAATAGTCAGTGAACTGCAACTTGAAAAATCATTGGTAAATGAAATTCCTGATACTTGGGTTGGAGAAGAGGAAGGAGAGGAGATGGAAGATGCAGATGATATTGCAATTGCTTATTTTAAAGGTTAGCTGGGCTTCTTAAAGTCTATTATAGTTTATATTCCCCATAGATAAGCCATTTGAAGGATTTGATTGGTTAATCAAGCTTGGGGCTTAATGAACTTGATACTAAGGTGAGGGCTACCATTGTGTGATTAACGTGGCAGTCACATATTGACACATCACAATTCAAACCAAAGATTAGCGTTGTGATGTGGAAATTTGAAGTAGAACCTTTTTTCCTTTGTCCTGAGAACCCATTCTCTGGATGATTGTGAACCAACCCTGAAAGATGTGTGAACTAGTCCTGGGGGAAGTAAGTATAGAGAAAGATTGGGCCTACAGGTATCAGCTTGGATTACTAGTCCAGCCTTCATTTCTCTTCCTACCAATACCAAGCAAGAACAAAGAGATAAGATGAAGGTTTACCTGCCTAAGATCTCGGATATTGGAAGAATCCATAAGATAAATTAAGATAAATTCTTTATTCAAAATCTGTTTCACCCTTTAATTTTCTGTTGGGGTAAGTAATTTGGTTTTGTCTCATTTGCATATGTGCTTGGTTAAGGGGAAAAGCTGGGAACATGCTCCCTTTTCCTTCCTTACTGCTAATGAAACCCTGTCTGAGATTTCTGGCAGTCTATTTTTCCCAGCGGGCAAAGGACAATCCCTGGAGAGGAGACTAGCGGAGTTCTGGATACCTCTAATACTTGTAACAGTACTGTTCAGATTAGAGGTGGTAACAGAATATCCAGGATCCAGTTCTACTCTGCTTCCTATACTTTTGACACAAGAAGGCAGTCATGCTTTTATGACCAGAAACCACAGCTCCACCTTAACATGTTTTAAATTTGTTTTATTTATATCCCATCTATCTATCTATCTATCTATCTATCTATCTATCTATCTATATCTCTAGCTATATATCTATATCTCTACAGTGCAGATATTCTTGCACTTGGGACACAGGAATGGTGCCACAGGTACAGGATGGGAAACAAGTGGCCTGAGAGCAGCACTTGTGGAAGGGTTAGGGTTTGGGTACCTGTTGACAGCAGGCTGAAGATGAGCCAGTAGTGTGATGTGATGGTTAAGAAGGCAAATGCCATCCTTGGATATATAGCCAGAATTATGATTTTCGCATCTAGGGAGGTGTTGATACCACTCTACACGACTCTGGTGCACCCACAATGGGAGTACTGTGTCCAGTTCTTGGCTCCACGTTATAGGAGAGACATAACTAGGTTAGAATTGGTTCAGCGCAGGGTCACAAGAATGGTAGCTGGGTTGGGAAGGATGACATGAGGAGAGATTGAAGGAACTGGGTCTTTTCAGCCTGAAGAAGAGGAGATTCCGAGGGGATCTTTGAGCAACTTATAGGTGTGTGAGGGGATGTCATGTGGAGGAGGACTGTGATCTGTTCTACCCTGCAGTGGAGGGCAGGATGTGTTCCAGTGGGGCAAAACTCAAGGAACCAGGATTCAGGTTGGATGTCAGGAAATACTTCCTGATGGTTAGGACTCCTGGAATATGGAATGGACTTCCAAGGGAGGTGATTGAGGCCCCATCAGTGAGGCTGTTCAAGGAAAGATTAGACAGCCACACGTTAAGGATTACATGAGTGGAGCTGGCTGGAGCTGAGGTCAGACTAGATGGCCCAGGAGGCCCCTTCTGTGCTTTGTTTCTTTTTCTTCACTTGGACTTTGGATCTAAACTTTGACCTAATAAATGTAGCATCTGTGTGGTGAACCTGAGTGCCCTTAGGGTGCACATGGTATTCTTGGATCCAAGAAAGACTCTTGTCTTTCTTCTAAGACTCCTTGGGCTGAAGGTTATATATTACAGTATGAAACTAAAAATATGCTGTCCAGATAAATCCTAAAAATCCTGTTTCGTTATCTAAATAATCTCTTACTACCAGTCTTACTCTGTTTCTCCCTACTTTTTTTCTCTGAAAGTATGCTATTGTAATCTGGTACTCATATGACTTTCTGTTCCAGTATTTCCCTATTCTTGGATCTGTGCAGATGAGGACTTTAGATAGGGCCATTCCTACTTAATACAAAACAATACTATTGTAACTACCCGGGTTATTCAGTCTTAGAAGGAAATCTCTCCAAATACCGGGCTAGTGTGTCTTCAAGCTGTAATTATTGTCACAGCTATTTCACAGCAGCACAGGAATTATTGAGTACAAATGTAGAATATAAACAAAGGTTGAAATTTAATTTTAATTTCAGCTAAAGAAATGAAAAAGTACTGGACAAATGTTTTTGAACAAGATGAGCCTGAGGCAGTTCTTACAAACTCTGAGCCCTCTCTGAAAATCAAGATCCTTGAAGATGTAAGTATATTTTGCCTGGCCAGGTTTATTCATTGCACTTAATAGCTTTTACAAATATACCTAGCATAACCATTTACAATGTGATCACCCTGCACATGCAATTTGACTCCTGTTTATCCCCTGACAGTTGATAGGCTGTTTAATAGCTGGCCACATTAATATCTGGTGAGATAAAGTGGGATAGGGAGGTAGAGAAAAGCGAAATGAGTTTAGCAGAATTGAGCATTTTTCCAATTAACCATAGTTAAATGAACAAAACATGAGTTTAATGGCATTACCGATAGAAATAATAGCATATATTTGAGAAGTGATTGAATCATTTGTAATGTTTATACTCTGCCTTTCTAAGAAATATTTGAGGCAGTTAAAATTGAGCCATGTTACATGCTCAAATATTTCAGTTTTTTATGCATTTTACATTATCCAAACATACAACAAATGAACTCCAGAATGTAGCATATTTTCATGCACTGTATGCCTACATAAGTTTAGCCAGTATTTGGGGTTTATTTTTAGTCAGGGTTCACTTCAGTCTAGCCTTTATATGTATTTTTGGTACCTTGGGATATGCTAAGGGAGAGAGGAATTTCATTTGCAGAAAGTGCTTATGCCATTGGGTTTGTCAGTCACTGAATCATAGCCCCTCGCATTTTAAAAAACAAATGCTGAACAAACACATGCTTATGCCATGTGCCACTGTCTATGCTGGGCCAAAATTAGTAATTGACTTTGATGTCAGCTTTTAAGACTTCTGCTTGGATAAGATGGGTTTGGCCCAGTGTAACTAGAGTACCTTGGAGTGAGCCAAGAATTTTTTTATGTATTTATGTATATATGTCTGTTTTCTCATAAGGCTTGTGATGAGGAGCCAGAAGAATCGGCTAATTTTGTAGTGATGGAAGCTGGTTCTGATGAGCTAACTGATTATAGGTAATAATTTCAAATTATGAAGTCATCTGGTGCATGTATTTTACACAAGCAACATTTGATCTACATCCTAGTTGCTGGCTTTACAGTTGTATGATTTTTTTCATATCAGAATATGGCTAAGGGTATAATGGAAAGATCATATACCTTTTCACAGCAGTAAGACGTCTCAGCCTGGTCCTTGAGAGTATCTCCAAAGCTGCATTTGACATCGAACCCTTGGGCAGAAAGAGGTTCAAGATCCCTGGGATATGAAATCAAGAGCAGAGTTTTTAGAATGCTTAACATGGTTTCTTTTCCCTATTTGTTTTCTAAATTGTTTTCTACTTCTGTTTCTGTTTTTTGTTAAAAATACAAAAATGAATCATCAAATATTCTGAATAGCATGAAATAGTAATTATAACCATAATCCAAAATAAATATCAAATGTTTTCAATATAATAAAATGTTCACATAGTCTCAATTTGCATGGTGCTAAAAGCCTTCTGAAATAATTAAAGTTCATTCCCTATATGCATATTCAAGGTATATATTCCATCTCCTATGTAACCTAGGAAGATGCTTTAAAGTGGCAATCTGGTCATTTTTGTGTTCCAATTTTTGTTTTCTATCTCAAGTGGTACCATGTCAAAAAATAAGAAAACTGAACCAGGCATTTTTCTGGCACAAGCTGGCACTATTTCCACAAGGTCACCTCATTCTTCTGCAGTCAACAAAGAAAAGTGTTTAACTTTTCCTCATGATAAGCATGAAGAAACACCTAGAGGTAAGCTTATAACACTTACTTTCACTGTAAAAGCAGCTCCTGTGTCAATGTTGTTTTCTTTTTTGAGTGCATTATCTTTGCTTGTTCACAACTTATAAGCAAATATAATGTTTTGTCCCTTGGATGCAGTGCCAAGAGGCAACTGCTGTGCTTATTCTCAAGGACATATCTTCAGAAAAGCTGCTAGTGTGCCCAGTAGAGCACTGTAGTACAGAACCGATGTCGTATTAAACTTACCAGGACAAGAGCTTTGGCTGTTGGTTGGTATAGAAATTAAATAAATAAGGCAGCTACCTTTTCCTTCCAGACATATATAAACTTGTTCCTGCTAGCTGTGTGGTTAGGCAGGAGAGCAGCATGGATATTTAGAGGTGCCAGTTGAACTTATCATCCCTGAAATGGGCACATTGCAGACATTTCTTAAGTATCTGTCATTTAATCTGCAACCTTTCTGTGGTCTAGGTTTCTCATTAATCTTTTTAATAAATTGAATTTGGAATGCCGAATAAAGACTAGAGGGAAAATCAAATCCTCTTGTATGTTTGTGCAATGCAATGGTTTCAGTGCAAATTTCAGCCTCTGTTTGGCATTTCTGTTTGGATAACCCGGCTGTGTAATAGCAGCCATCTTTACAGTAATTATTGAGAAATTATATCCAGGAAATTAAATTGACATGATCTTTTTCTTCAATACATAGGAAGTGCTCCAACACAACCTGAAGGAGCTGACATTATTTGTGGTTGTTCCAGTGCAGAAGACATGGTTCCCAGCACCTTTTGTAAACAAGCAATAACTGAAGAAGAAAGTGCTAACATAGAAAACAATAGCTTCTGCCATATGTCATCTGAGAATTCTTCTCCTCGATTGGCTCCTACTGAACTTTTCCCTGTGACGGACAGCAAGGTATCATCAGAGGTGAATATAGTTTCACCAGTCACTACCAAGTTATCTGTGGTAAAGAAAGAAAGAAACATAGAAACAAAGCAAGTCAGAAGGGGCCATCTAGTCTGACCTTTGGCTGCACTTGGCTCTGCTCATATAATCCCCAACATGTGGTTGTCCAGTCTTTCCTTGAACACCCTCACAGATGGGGCCTCAACCACCTTCCTTGGAAGCCCATTTCATAGGGGATAGTTCATCACTATTTACGGAATTATTTAAGAGAATCGTGCTACGAGCTACGAGTAATGTTTTGCTTTGTGTGACACACTGGACTTAAAAATGTCATCTTTAGAATGAGGCCATTGTTGTACCATTGGAACCTTTTAGTGGCTCAGGGTCTTCAAAGGGATAAGGTGAGGAGGAGTGAGGGAGGGGACAGCATTGGATGCTGTGGGAAAGAGGTGTTCTTACTCCTAACTCTCCGAATAGATTTTGCACTCAAACAGGAAGGAGCACGGAGACACAGGGCGGCGTTGACTTGCTTTTCATGATAATTTCTAGCGTTTCCTTCATGCTGTCGTTGGGAGCCCTCCAAAGATAATATTTCTCGTCCACATAGAGACTCTTAAAAATGGATCTTGGAAGTACCTATGCACTGAAAGGATAACTCATATTTCTGTGAATTATCCATTATCCACAGATCTTTTCCAAAATGATTATCATAAATGATCTGAACTAGACAAGAAATCTTCAATAAGGGGTGGTGATGGAAAATGCCACCTTTGTTCTAAAAGGATCTGGAGGGCAACACTCAGCTCTTCTACCCCATGCTGAGGAGGAAGAGATCCTATATAACTTGTAACTACTGGCTGGAGGAACAGAAACAGAGATATACAGCTGTCCCTCTCTCTCAGTTCACACAAATACTTCTTTAAGGCTCTTGGGAGTGCTTGCAAATTATAAAGTATTGGTTCAGCAGTTTATGCAGCAGCTACATGCCTTGCTCCAGGATATAGAATCCAGTGGGAAACAGGGATTCTGGTAGTACAGTGGTGGGAAACTTTGTTCAGGAGAGCCATATTCCCTTACTAGAAACTTTCTAAGGGTCTTTGCATGGCACTGGTGAGCGATGCCAGTAAAGACCTTGGCAGGACCAGCAGACTCCTTACTTCCCTTCCTCTCACACCCACACCCCATCCATTCAATTCTCCCATGTTTTTCTGTTTCACTTTTCTCCTTCCCTTTCTCCTTTTCATTTCCCTTCCGTATTCAACTGCTCCCCTACTCTGCCTTCCCCATGGCCGGAGTAGAGTCGGGGAATGGAGAAAGCAGGCCAGAACCTTCTTAGTTGATTCCAGCAGCTGTTTCTCACCCCAAGCAGCTAGTGGGACTGTTTGGGGGGGAAAACAGTTATAGATAACTTAATGATTGTTGTTGTGCACTCATGATTCCCTTTCAAGAGCATCATATTAGGAGGAAATGCTAGACTGGAGTTGGGTCTTTATTAACAAACTTTCCACTGTCTTCCTTAACCTTTGCCCTACATTGTTTTCTTAGATTCAAATGACTTTTTAGAGGACTTTGCTACTTTAGAGTTTCAGACAGCATTTTGTTGTGCTTATTACATTATTTCTATATCCCCCCTCCTCCCAGATTTCAACCAGGCCCAACCCTGCTTAGCTTTCAAGATTAGGCAGTATCAGGCACTTCAGGCTACAGTCAATCCACTTTACTCCTATAAACCTAAAGCTTAAAAGCAGAGGTTGCATTGGATACAGCCTGCACACAGCATTTGCTCCCAGCTATAGGCATGACTAATATGGAGTCACTGAAAGCAGAAAAGGATAGGAAGAAGGCTTGCTAATGGCTTGCTTCCAGCATTCAACTATGCAGGGGCTGAGGATGCTGCTACTGCCCTGTGTTTGTAATAGAACAAAGTTACTGTGGTTGACTGGATTATAGCTTTTGCAGGAATGACTACAACACTGATTTTTTGTCTGCATCTTCTGTAAGAAGTGCTTATTCCTGGATTATTATAGGCATGGCATTCCAGTGTTTGTAACCATTCAAAGTTCTTTATTTCATTGCTATGCATAATTTCAGTCCTATGCCACTCAGGACAAGAATAATGCATGTAGTTAGCCCTAGCTTTTTAATATCCTTTGATATTTAAAGAACAGTTTTACAGGCAAGACTAAACAGTTTTATAGACCCTAAGCTGTTTTGGATTTCTTGAGAAAGAAGAAAAGTCAGGATATAACTACAATATATTATTTATACTAACAACAAAAGCACTTAACAATGTTTTACTTCTTAA